GAGCCCGTTACAAGAGATGGAGCCTGACATCATGGACTGGATGGATTCATCAGCTTTATAGGGATTAGTCCATGGACTAAGGAATGACAGCTCTCTCTTTGTGTGTGGGTGTGGGTATATGTGTGTGTGTATATATATATGTATATATGAGACAAAAGTGATGGTATATTGAAAAATGTGGGATCTGAGCATGAGGTGAATGGTATGGAATAAGGAGTGGATACTGTCCTGGGTTCAGCTACAGCAGTCATTTTTTCCTTCTTCTTTGTAGCTGGTACAGTGCTATTTTTTGAGTTTCAGCCTGGGAACAACGCTGATAACACTGATGGTTTTAGTTGTTGCTAAGTAATACTTACTCCGACCAAGGACTTTCTCAGTCTCATGCTCTGCCAGGGAGGAGGGGAAGCCAGGAGGAAGCAGAGACAGGACATCTCCTGGCCAAAGGGGTATTCCATACCACAGTACGTCATGCCGAGTATACTAATCGGGGGGAGTTGTTATTATTGGTGGTAGCAGTAGTGGTTTTTGTAGTATATGTTAGTTACTGGACTGCTGTTATCTCAGCCCGTGCGAGTTACATTCCTTCGATTCTCCTCTCCCTCCCTCTGGGAGCAAGTGGGGGGAGTGAGCAAGTGGCTGCATGGTTCTGAGTTACGGGCTGGGCTTAGACCACGGCAAGGTCCATTGCAATTAAATTATTATTTGTTTCTGTGGCTCCTTTCTAGGCAATGTAAGCAGAGAAGTGGAGGTGAACAACTGCCTGAAGCAGCTAGGATGGAAAAACAAGAGTGCCAAACAGCAGCGAGCTGCAATACAAGCCGATGGCCACAGCATCTCTGTCTGGCTGCTAGTAGGGACTGAAAGATCCTCTGAGCTATTTCCTCATCTTACCTGTGCCTAGTGGGAACTCTGTAGATGAGCTCACTGGGAGTTGGGTCTTGCTTCAAGTATTTATTCAGCATGTCCAAGGAAAAGAGCCTCCAGAGGTGCAACTTGCTGATACCACTGCCACTCCCTGCAACTGTGATGCAGAAAGTTGGGTAGACACCTGTTGCTACGATGGAGCAGAGGGGCTGCTGCTCCTCTTCTGTGCTTCTAAGACCTGTAGCTGGGGAGAGAAAGAAACACCAAAAAGTAGTCATGGATCATTAAGGGGCAGCTGCCTGGGACAGCAAAACAGAGAGGCCCTCCCCAGACCAAAAAAAGAACAGGACTTTGGCAGCTTCTGAAAACCTCTAAACCACTGACTTCCAGTTGTACCTTGACCTCTGCATTTAGAGATCACCAAGACAATGAATGTGATCCTTCTTAACAATGTACTTACACAGGTTGGCTATGCACTATGTGATCCCCCCTTTTTCCATTTAAGCCTACAGCCTAGTCATTTTATGAAGTGCCCTTTGTTTTCAAGCTGAAAAATCATAAATATTTGTTTACATCTTGTCTTCTCCATACCATTCACGAGGCATTGCCATGCTCCACTTTCCAAGCTGGTAACTCCTTAACTCCTTGTCTAACTAGTGTCTTCTTGTAGAAACATTGCTCCCCACCTCTGAATATCCCTGTTACATGTTACACATTGTTACATATCCTTGTTATCCCTCTCCATGCCTTTTCTAGTTAAACTTCCTTCCTTCTCATACTTGGACCAATCCAGATCTGCCAAAAGGACCCCAGCTGCATGAGACTGTTTGCATGAACCTCTCAGAACGTGTCTCAGGACATATCGTAAAAGGCCATGATCACACAGAGGAGCAGTGAATCTTGTGACCAGAGCAGAAGGAAATTTGGACCTTCCCTTGGCTGTGTCTTATGGTTCAATCATATCTAACATAATCTAAAAGGTGCATCTAAAGGGAGGTAGCACATAGGATCTGGCTCTGGTGAATTGCTTGTCACCAGATTTCTTCAGGCAGAACTCATACAATGGGGTGGGAACTGTGCGGCTCAGCCTGTTATGGCCCAGTATACTTGGTTGGAAGGGAATGATTTTCCCAAAACACCCATCTCTCACCTGTAGGGGTGCAAAGAGCATATTTGATTGACCAGGTGTAATGCAGCTGATGGGCTAGCCTGACTGTTACTCGGACAAAAGCTCTTGACCTTGCAGGGATAGTCCCTCTGGAGTGTTCCAGCTCTAGAGCTGTAGGAGAAAAGAGATTGTATGAGCTCTTGGCTCATACATGTTCAGCACAAAAATCCCTAATCCTTCCTGTGCTTAAGCCACTGCCGTCCCCATGCCTAATCATTAGGAACAGCTTCAGATGTTGAAGCTGGTATTCCCAGACTACAACTGGAGGCAGCTCATTGGGACTACCCAGCCTGTCTTTGGCCAGCAATGAACAGGGAACTTCCCCAAAGGAGGTCCTCTAGAAAGACAGCTAAGGGTTGCACTCCACCATTTCTTCTGCAAACTCCTTTAAATTCTCTCTCTGCTGGAAAAGCACATCTTATTTCAAGGCCCAAGTTGGTCTCACTTCAGTTGTTGTGTTCTGGGTTATGCTTTTTCCAGCAAGATAGAAGAGTCATCTGTAGTAAATCCCTCAGCAAAGGAGCAGACCCTTTAAGGCACTTCAGAGAATCAATGCAAGCTAGCCAGCAAGCAGCCCAACTTCTGAGTTTATGCTAGATTGATTTTGCAGAAGAAAGGGGAAAGCCAAGGCCTCATCCCATGCTAATTCCCTTACAGTACCTAGTGGATCACGGCAGACCTCCTCAGGGTCAGAAGGCTCAGTGATCAGTTGTTCCACACTGAGGATGTACTTCAAAGAACAGATCCCATCATTTAGCAACACAATGGTGCAGCTTTTCAGGTCACCAACCAGAACATTTCCAAGGTCCAGGTGCTCCTTTTCTGCCTGAATACAAACCCACCATGCAGTAGTCAGTGTTACATGCTGAACTTGCAGCTGAGTGTCGCCACCACTCATCTCACCACATGCTGATCCTTTGACACACACAATGCAGTGCAAAGGGCTCCCTGCTTTGTGTAGGACCTGGCATCCCCTGGGAGATGTCAGAAGAGGGCTACAGGTGCTCAACCCCTCCTCCAAATTCTTTCTCCTACTGTTACTTAGACTGCTTGCTGGACAGGATGCAGTATATTCAGGGCTGTGAGGACACTAGCTAGCCAGCTGTACTTGGGACAAGGGCTAAGGTACACCTGCTGGTCCCTCCATGACTGCATTAAGAGTCCCCCTCTCTTCTGGGTAGTCATCCACTCACATGCAATTTATAGTGACTCAGTATATTTAAGACATTACCACCTATCTGTCCAATGTGATTGATGTGAGGCAATGACTTACTAAGTATTATTTTATTTAGCTCTGGTTCCTTAAGAAACATGCCTGGAAATGAAGATCTGCAGATAATAAGAGGAAAGCCAGGTGGATGTGTGCTGGCTACACCACTTGAACAGTTAGGTCCACTACACTTAAAAATCAGACTGACAGCAGAACAAATGGAGAAGGAGAGCAGACAGAATGAGAGGAGAGAGCTCCAAATCCCAAGAGCCAAATAGCTTGCTTGATTTGGTCTGGAACAGAGGATTTGGGCAGGTCACATTTGAACTGGCAGGACATTTACATCATGCTGTTGCCATTAGGCTGCCAGAATCAGTTCTTTCATCTCCACTGAAAGAAACAACTGGGAGTTTTGCTGTAAATCCTTATTACTTGCCTCCAGTACAGCCTGTGCAGAAAGGGGAAGCCCAAGGCCCCCATCCTACCCTAGTACTTCTTCATACTACCCACTGGGTCCAATTCCTTACCCTGATGGTGCCCAGTGCCCCCTCTCCAACAATCCGTAAGGCATAACAAACAGTTTCAGGACGCACAGGGTCTGTGTTTTTTCTCCTCACAAACACCTTGGCTCGCAGCAGATACTTGGTCTCCTTGTCAGGAGTAAAAGTCCATGCCTGAGCCTGAAACCACAAGAGGGAATGAAAGTGCTCACAGGAGCTCCAGATCAGAGCCAACACCACAACAGTTGCATTCAATGCACAGCCCCTTCCTCTGTTACAGATAACTAGTCCTTTACAGGCAACTCTGGAGACACTCTCACTTCAATCTTCCACCATCACTGCCTGTGTCAAAGGTTCATATTGGGAATGCACATTCAGATATTGAAAGCCAGGCTTTGGAGATATGCTAGTCCTCATTACTCTCAATAAGCGCTCAGGGAATACAAGTATAAGTTTAGAACCTGAATTTACGGATGGGAGAACAGTAGAAAAAAAATCATAAACCCTCATGTGCTCTCATTTGTCTTCTGGCTATTGACATCTGGTGCATGACAAAGTTGCTGCTGTGTTAATGCCCAGTCCCCTCCAGGGTATCATTATCTAGTGCCTGTCTAAGACCCATTTTGTTTGTAATCAAGGACAGTGTTGTCATGTTTGGGCAAATCCACATCATAGCAACCAGCACAACTGCAGATACTGGCTAGCAATCCACACTAAGATAGGCTGGTATTCCCCAATTTTAGCATTAATCACCAAATGATTGGTGGCCTTCACATTTCTGCCCTAAACGTTCTGCACCTGTCCTGTAGAGAACAAAATACTTGGCAGAACTTGAACTTACCATGGCTTCATAGGGCTGGAGGATCCCTGCAGAGGGACTAACAGACAGGATCTTGATGTCAGACTGATGGATCTTCCATGTGAAAACCATGGGTAGCCTTGTGCAGTTTTTTATGGTATACATTCGTGTAAAAGAGGTCCCTATATAGACAGGTTTGAAGTATAGATTTCCTTCACCTTCTAAGAGCAAATTAAGGGACTCACCACAACTCTGGAGAGCAATTTCCTGTGGAATTAAGGAAAAAAGTAACAGACATTAGCCTCCAGAGATGCCTTGCAAAGATGCTGCTCCTGCCAACAGAGAAGCAAAAACAAAACTGGGTCTGAGGGACGAGAGGAAGAGTTTTAGGTTGTGCTATCAAGGAGGGCCTTGAGCACAGTATAGTATGTTCTAGGAGGTGGAAACCAAGGGAACGGGGTACAGGATGTCTGGCACCACAAGCACCTTCCATCTGCAGTGTTGACCCTGCCCTAAATTTTGAAAGTATTCTTTCATTCCTATTTCCAAAGGGAAAAATCTAAACTAACCGTTAGGAAATATAACAGGTGTCACTGTGAAAAGGGGAGATTACAAGGGAACAAAACTTTGCTCACTATCTTCTACTTCCCTCTCCCTACCTTGGTGTATCCAGGGTGAGAGTTCAGCTGCAAAGGTAGGACATGCCTCTGTGAAACTGTGTTAACTGGGTGGGTGGAGAGAAAGAAAATCTGGTGGCCTCCTGGAATGATGTGTCCTGAGCAGGGCTTGACCAAAAGAGAGGGACAGGCAGCTTGGTTCACACTGAAAGTTATCAGAGAGGTACCAGTGTTCAAGAGCAGCATGCTGCAGTAGGTATGTCTGTTAGGAGCCACAGGAGGAAAAGTCTGGTGGAAACAAGAAAGAAGGGGTTTTTACACTGGATTTAGAAAACAACTTAAAGGAAAAGCTTTCACTGTGTTGAATTCTAGGTTCCAACAAGCATTATCCTGAGTCTATGGAAAACTTTGTAACAACTTCTCTTCAAAGAAAGAAAGGAGACGACCCAAGGGTATGCAAATCACAGTCTTTTCCCTTCCCACACTGGCCCTCAACTTTCATAGGCTCATGGGACCAGTGAAGCTACTTTCCGTTATACAGTGCTTTCTGTTCATCCAATAAGTGAGCTGCATGGATGGTGACCTCCTGAATTAAGAATTCCAGAAGACTGGAATTTGCTCCAGCTCATGCATACCAGATACAGGCTGCATGTCCTGGACTACCTGAGGAGATTTTCTAAGAGGTTCTCAAGATCATTTTTACTGCCTAGAGAGTCAGATCTTGCATTACCTCATAGGAGCAATACTTCCTTGTGCTATAAAAACATCAGAAAGAGGCAGGGAAGCTTCCACTCTACCTTGCAACCACTTCTTTTCCGTAAGTGTGAATTCTGTGTGCTGCCCTCAATTTGCGTACGTGCATGCAGAGTGTTTGAGGCTCCTGGGAGGGGACTAAGCATCCTTGTCAGTGCCTATATCCATTTAAACAGAAAGGAAGGAGATCCCAACCGCTTTCCACTCAGAGCTAATGAGATTCTCAGTGAATCCTGACACACTTGAGGCTGGGAAGTTAATGCAGAAGGAGCATCCTACTTCTGTACTAAAGCAGGAGTCTTCACACCAGCAGAAACCACCTAAGGCACATCTCAGGATGGTGAAGACTTCAAAGGTAAACACTGAGCGTCTCTGCAAAGATCCAAATGTCACTCATACACACCTTGGGGACATCCAGGATGTACTGTGGGATGAAGTGCTCCCGTCCTTCTTCAAACGTGTGTGCTCTCAGCTTGACAGTCAGGCACCAGGATGGACAGATGGTGGCATCCTCCTCGATGTTGTTGTAGTGTCTCAGCACCTGCAGGCATGCAAGGAACAGAACAGAGTGCATGTAGGAAGGGAGTGTGACAGGATGCCTTCAAGTGCATTCACCATCACAACCAGCAGTTTGTTTCAATGACATCTCTGGGGCTGAGAAATTTACTTTTTCAGGGAAGCAGGGCTGCCCAGCGCTGGATGAGGAACATGACTGCTGCTTTCCCAGAGAAGCTATATTTTAGACCAAAAAGACCACTGAATTACTTTCAGGCAGAAGGACTGATCCAAGCTATTCGGCAATACTGTAAAAGTTGCCTTGGGGAAGGAAGGTCTACAGATACTCTAATACAGTTTGAGATACTTGCAGATGCTAAAGTTAGCACTCAACAGTGAGGCACTGAAAATAATCAGCTGTCCATCACCTGAGCCTAAGAAACCCCTGAGGCAAAGGTTACTCCCAGATAAACTCCACTGGCTTAGAAGGGAAAAAAATGCAAGAAGAGTATTCAATAAAGTAATGAAGATCTCTTTCACGTACCAGGATGTTTCTGGCTGCTAAAACTCCTGCAATTACAGCCTTGTGTGACATGAATCCCACATCATGTGGGAGGAGAGGCTGCAGTCTTATACAGTGCCTTCAACAGCTTTACTTGTGGAGGGCCAGACACAAAAAACAAGTTAATATTCATCACCCAGACCACAACAGCCATTTTTGTGCAGGCTTCCATCCATACTAATAGTGCAGTAATTCCTCCTTCAGTGAGGTGTACATTACTTCACATTCATTGGGAGTAAGATCAAATGTGACTGTCCATACAGATGAGCTGTGGCAGCTTCACTGATTTATCTTTGCCAGGACACAGGTGAAGGAGAAATTTTAACCTACCAGTGTATCAAAGCATTGGCCAAAGGAGTTAACAAAGATGCCAGTTTTCCAAATTCAAAATAAAAGGTTCCATTTGAATTCTAACTCCCCCAAAAACCTTTAGCCTGCAAACAATTGCTTGCTAGGCACTCTCTGGCAACCGGTCTTAGTAATTCCTACTAACCTTGTAGAAGGCAAAACCTTCCAGCTCTGCGGCATAGAGAGTGTTGAGCTGAGTGGGATTGAAAATGACACAAAAGGCTGAAGACTTCAAAGGCGGGATGTCGCACATTTCAGGGCTCACTCGGAAGGCACTGCCATGGCTTAGAGTCCAGGCAACAGTGATACTTCCTTTGGTGTTGTTGGTCACACAGAGAGGAAGCGGTTTTACCTTGTGAAGCGGCAGGCAGCAACCAAAATCATACTCCCTGGGGCTGACACTAACATGAGGGGGAAACAAGGCCATGTCGCTGCTTTCACCATCATAGAAATATTCAGTCATAGAGTCGATTTCAAAGTATTCCTTTGGAGGCTTGTCCTGAGAGATCTACAGGATGGAAACATCTGAGCGTGAGCAGGGGAAGTGTGCCTGTGGGAGTCAACAGGCACTACAGTCCTGATTGCCCTCACAACAGGAGGGCATGCACTTCAGTAACAGTTCCCAGAACAGGTCAAAGTCTTCAAGGAGGCTCCTGGTTGCAAGCCAGTCCTCAAGCTGAAACTACACAAAGGAAAAGGATACCCCATGACTGAGTTAAAGCCAGAAAGTGGCTTAGTGCCTGAGCTTGGTAAAGATCGTGTTGGTGTGTGCTAGGAACATTAACTAAAGAAATCATTCTGACACCTGCAAGTCCTTCTAGATCTGCTTGGCCAATGCAACAGAAGCCCAACAGCTGCAGAGAAGAGCACGTAAGAAACTTAGATTCCAGGGAGGACAGATCATACCTCAGGGAGCAGCATGAGGGCTCCCTTTTCATCCATCTGCAACTGCCCATCCTTCAGCATCGCACTCATGATATCAGGAGGGTAGAAGGTCAGTCCCCTCACCATGTTGGTTCGGTACCAGGAGAGGTGTCTTGCCTGAAGGATTGCTGGTGTAGTTGTGTCTGAATGGCAGGTACCAAAAAAGTCCACATACAAGGGTTCCTGGGAAAACAGCAGAAAGAAATAATCAGCCCTTCTGCGATGGGTTTGAAAGTTACAACGTCCCAGTATCTCACTTCCCATGCCTGTGAAAAGCTTATTTTATGTGGCCCAAGAACGTTCTTGAAACTGGAGTGAAAGTTGAAGATGCCAAGTGCACACAGTGCAGCTAAATTTAACTCAGAGACCTAAACAGACAGGAGCCACTGAGAATGCACCTCACTCTACCCATAAGCATTACTGACTGCCTGTCCACATCAGCCCCCTACCTACTGATAGGAACCTGCACCATGGGGATTCTGCTCAACAAGAGCTTGGGTCCTGCACTTGGGTCACAACCACCACATATAATCATACAGGCTTGGGGAAGAATGGCTGGAAAAGGACCTCAGGGTGTTGTTCAACAACCAGCTGAACATGAGCCAGGAGTGTGCCCAGGTGGCTAAGAAGGCAAATAACATCCTGGCTTGTAACAGAAATAGTGTGGCCAGCAGGACTAGATAAGTGTTCTCCCACTGTACTTCACACTGGTGAGGCTGGACCCCGAAAATTGTGTTCAGGTTTGAGCCCCTTAGTACAAGAAAGACATTGAGGTGCTGGAGTGTGTCCAAAGAAGGACAACAAAACTGGTGAAGGGTCTAGAGAACAAGTCTTATGTGGAACGGCTGGGGAACTGGGGTTGTTTAGCCTAGAGAAGAGAAGGCTCAGGGGAGCTCTTATTGCTTTCTACAACTACCTGAAAGGAGGTGGTAGTGAGGCAGGAGCTGGTCTTTTCTCCCAAGTAAAAAGCGATAGAAAAGAGGAAATGGTCTCAAGTTGCACTGGGGGAGATTTAGACTCAATATCAGGAAAAACTTCTTCACTGAAAGGGTTGTCAAGCATTGGAAAAAGCTGCACAGGGAAGTGATGGAGTCACCATCTCTGAAGATATTTAGAAGATGTGTAGATGTGGTGCTTAGGGACATGCCTTCATGGTGGACTTGGTAGTGCTAGATTAATGGTTGGACTTGATCTTAAAGGTCCTTTCCACTTTAGATGATTCTATGATCGGTATCAATGGAAATGCAGTTGGAAGAGATTTCTGGGGGCTACTGAGAGAGGTCAGCCCCAGTGGGCTGTATTGGAAGATCCCCCTCAGTTATCACAGCGATGAAGCCACCTCTCATACCTGATGGTGGACAAGGCACACCACTCTGCGGTGATAGCTGATGGGGTGAGTGGGTCGAAAGGTCACCTTCAACACTAGTGTTGTTGTGCCCTCCAAGACTCCACAGGGGCGATCCAAGGAGAAGATGCTCCCTGTGACACCAATATCAAATTGGTAATAGGCTGGGACATCTGAGGTGTTGCTGATTTCCAGCGTCCGCATCAAACTTTCTCCAAGATTGATCCAGTCGAAGTCCAATGAACCTTGATGCAGGGACACTGAAGGACCTAGCACAACAAAATGCAAGACAGATCCTGAACCTGACATAGCTGTTTCTATCAATGTACCACAAGCCACTGCTGCGCTTAACTGATCTTCCCAAACCAGAATCACCTAATCAGCAAACCCACCAGTCCTAATGTCCAGCAAACAGCTGGACATTCACTTTTAACAATCTCACATCTGTCTCAAGCAAGTATAAACCCCAAATGGTGCACCCGGGACAGCCTAGAGCCCAGCAGAAGGTAAGTCAGAGACTGAGGGCTGCAACAGTCCCTAATCCTTCCTCAAGCACTAGCCCTTCCCCTGCAGTGCTAAGAAGACATCAGGGAGAACAGGGAAGGGTTTCACTCTGGTACCTTTACATGAGCCAGCCACCTTCAGGACAGTCTGCAGGAGGTACCCAGCAGATATGATAGTGAAATAGTCAGTACTGTGCTCTCCTACTATCTGAGGCTGAAATCGTATGCACAAGACCAGCTTCCCTTTGGCAGGGACAATGCCATGGGATACATCACAGGAGAAAACATGATCTTGAAGCAAAGGATCTTCTGATCTTTCTATCCTACATGGTGCATCAACCTGCAAGTAGAAAATAAATAGGTTAATGAAGGAGCCAGCAGGAGCCAGGATGGCTCTGAATGCAGGACACTTATTAGTGAAGAACTGCAGTTATCAGCAGAGCCGAACATCATCAAGGCTACTGCAGCCCAGCACAGAAAGGCTGTGCAAACCTCTACCACCCTGTCCTGCTGGAGCACTGGGAGCACTGCTGGCAGCAAGTTCCCACAATGTGCTCAGAAGTCAGTGCAGCAAAATATCCTGGTGATCTCTGGGGTTGGAGTGCCCCTCCTGGTAAGGTGGAGGATGGCTCAAAGTGAGTTCAGTGGCCAAAGTAGCCTAAGTGACTGCTGTGAATGTGGGACCGGCAGGCAGATAACTTAGGTACTTCCATCTACAGCTCCACCTTGTCTGGGGACCTTTTCACAAAAGAAAGGACTGGCACTCTGATGCCTTCCTCAAATCTCTTAAAAAAGGATCCTGGTCTTTGCCTAGGGATGCTGAGCACCACTGCAGTGTGAATAAAAACAGTACAACAAATTACCAGGTCTTTGCCACCCTGAGTTGCAGAGCCTGTGGAAGACTCAGCACTGCTCAGCTTGTTGGCAGTCTCTGAGTACATCCATTTTTTAAGGGGCTGAGCTGTCACAGGGAACCAAGTGCTCAAATGCAGCCCGCTTGACTTTCAGAACAGTTCACAGGGTTGTAGTCCACTGAGGACAGCAAAAGAGTCATCAGCAGCCTGAGAGACATGCATGCCAATTTGAGACTGCCACAACTTCCACACAGGACTGATGGGCTTGTCCAGGGTGAGTAGGAGAGCGGCAGGGTGTGAAGGACAACAGTGGCTGCCTGATCTGGACCAAGTGCAGTGGGAAGAAGACAAGGAACTGTCTTACCATGCTGCAGATGGATGTGTTGCTAGCTTTGCAGCTGGAAGGCAAGGTTGAATGGCCTGGTTGGTAGGGGAAGGCTCATCAACTCTGTTTTACTCACATTCCCATTTGGGTTATTTTCACAGCATTAAGGGAGATACTCAAACCCACATATCCCAGGGAAGCGTGCCAGCATGCCAACTTCTCAGAAGTCACCCTCTCCACATACCACAGACATGTTGAAGATTTCTACACACTTCTCCACAGTTGTCCCCACTGGCACTGATCCAAAGCACAACACATCCTGAAACTTCCCAGGCTGTACACCTTCATTCTCTTCTCCTACCACACTCACCTGCAGGTAGGGGTATTTGGCTGTTAAAGGGAATAATATACTGGGTTAAGAAAGAGAGGTGGAATTTCCATCCCTCGATATTCAATGCTCACCTGGACAAGCCTCTGAACAATATTGAGTAACTCTGAAGTTAGATCCAACTTTGAAGTTGGCCCTGTTTTGAACCAAACTATCTCCCTTCCAGCCTTAATTTACTAAACTCGGAGTTATATCTTTTGTCAGTGGCCATACAAGGCATTTCAGGGAAGGACTTGCTAATGAAACCATTGCTTACTCTAGAATGTATCTTGCATCCAGAAAGCTTCAGTTTTCCTTCATCTCTCTCTCTATCAAGGACAGATAGGAGAGACAGAGTGCACAGACCAGGAATTTCTGGAGGTTTCTGCGTTGTGCCAGTGAACTCGTCTCACTTTTGCCCCTCTGTCAACTTAAGCAGGCTCCAGAAATGCTGGTTTGGCCAAAGCATGCCACAGTGCATATCAGACCCAGGGTCTTTTCAGATCACATTTTCAAATTGGCAAAAGTACATTAAAGAATTTCACAGGCCACTTTTAAACCATAGTTTTCATTTGCTCACAGTAGGCTGAGCCAACTATGACACAATCTCAGAGCACAGAACCTCCATTTATCCTTGTGGAATGCTATTCCATAGTTCAGGATGATACAGACTTTGAGTGTTAAATGCAATAAAGACTCACACAGGGCTTTTAGCTGGATAGTCCTCTTTCGTTTCTCTTCACTTCCAAACCAGCATGTTGCTGTCACATCATACACTGCAGCTACCTTGGGTTGGAAGACCACTTTGACCATGCACTCAGCACCTGGGTTCAGTATGCTGTAGTCAGGAATCATGTAGAAAGGGCTTGGTGTCTCCCAGTCAAAAACAGTGATGAGATCACTAGGAAATGGAGATACACCTTAAGTAGACAAACGTATCCATAGCTGCCTGAGCAATCGCACGTAGGATGGCCTTCCCAATGAGTTACTCAGTTAGGATGTGAAGCAGCCAGTGTTGAATGGCAGAATCCCCAAAGCACCTGGCCAAACGTGTTGCTGGGAAGAAATTTGTCTCTAGCTTCTGCAAATGCTCAGTTCACACTTTAATGAATCTTAGCTATTACAGATAAGGACTCTATTAATGGCCATAAAATTTCCCAGCTTCATCATGTCACAGTAAAAAAAAAAAAAAAATCAGCTCCAGAATGAAGTATTTGCTTTTCCTTCTACTTAATTCCAAATGAACATTTGTTCCTCTGTTATATGCCCAGGTGAGAAGAGAGGACCAAACTGTTTTCTTAATACCTCATTCAGCTCTTGAGAACTCACTTTGCTTTTTGATTTGTGTGAAGAACATGATATACCATCAGGTTTTCACATTTTATTGATTCCAAGCTGTGTGTTACTTACCATCCATATCCTCCACCACCCTGAACCTCTCAAACAGAACAAATGATTTCTCTAAGGGAAGAATGAGTCACCTGAACTGGTTTCTGGCTGATACCTTGGCTCTGCTGAAGGTACCTGTGCCCTCAGCCTTTCCACCCTCCACTGCATCAGCTGACTTCTTTGGGGAGCACCTTTCCCAGCTAGTAAAGATTACTCTGCTCTTGATGAAAAAAGTTGGAAGTACACCTCCTTCTTGCCTGGGCACTATTTCACCACACTCCTTTCTACAATACTGCCTGAATTACTGTCCTTCCCTCACTAAAATAAGACAGTCCTTGGTACCTGGGAATATCTTTGCTTCTAAATGATGACTCCAAGTGACAGAATGCTGCTACTACTTTGGGAAGCTCCATGAACCTAAGAGCAGACACTGGGAAGACTCTCCAAATTCTGTATTGCCTGCCTCCAAATCAAAAAGTTCAGCCCAAGCACCAGAAACTCGACTGCCATCCCTACAGCATCCCTGTGCTGAAGGAACATTGGTCAAGTCAGAAAGATTATAATATTTCCAGCTGATAGCTCATCTCTCCCTGCTCATGCTAGGCTTGCTGCCTTTGATTAAGTAGAAGCCCAGACCTCTGCTTTGAATGTGGAAAGTTAATGGAATACCATGCTGGTCACCAGCTAGTTCTTGTGCATGAAAGGTTCTCAGCATATGCTGGAAACAGACAGATGTGAAGTGCCAAGATGTGCCCATGGTGAGATCCAACCTGCACTACCATTTCTGCTGCCTTTTCTGCCTCAGAGAAGGCAGAGATCTGCTGCCTGTCAAGGCAGCCAGCAGACCTAAGAACAACTGGAAGGAGTTGCCTTCATAGGAGAGTCCAAAAAGATGGCAAAATACCTGACAAAACAGAAGGAGGCTCTGCTCAGCCACATCTCACTCACCCAATGTTGCGCACAGGGAATGTTATCTCCGTGACATTGTGAACAGCACAGGTAGGCAACTGGACAGCAGCTGGGAAGGACAGACAGGAGCACGGGAGCGTAGCACGCAGGGTGACGGAGAACTCACCCCCATCCTTCTTAAAGCAGATACTGTCTTCGTACTCCCTCTGCACAGAAAAGCAAGGGGAGACAGCAGTTAAATGGACTCCATCTTGCAGGTACTGCAGCTCCAACCATGCACACCCATCACCTTCATCTCTGAAAGTGTTGAGGGAGAAAACATCAACAACAGAGGCAGCAGGGGAGGACTCTGTGCAGGAAAGAGAGCATCTGAAGAGCTCAAAAAAGGCAGGCAGTGAGGCAGGTGCTCAGGCATACTCCTCACTCTGACAGGGAACACACAAACACCCTCAGAGAGAGCAGCTGAAGTCTGCATGTGTTTCACCTGAGTTGTTTCGATGCAGAAAGATTTCTTCCACTGTTTTCAAGATCCCAATTCAGCTAAACTGAAACATGCACAATATTTCTTGGAGCTTCATGAGCACAGAAAATCACTTTAAGTGATTTGTCAACTAGAGACCTAAGCAGACAACACACAGCTTAAAGATGCAGCGTTGACAGCACTGTGTACAAATAGCCCCAGAACGTCTGCTAACTAGCCAAGATAGAAGGAACTGCAAGATACCTGTCTTCCATGCTCCCCAGTTGTCACCTCTCCTGAGTACCAATTATACAACTAAGTGCTTGGGCACTGCATCACACACAGTCCTGCTCTCTCTGAGAAAGAGAGTCCTGCTCTAGTGATTGACGTGGTGTAGACAAACTATTCACTGAAAATGGAATGAGGTCAACAGCTATTTCACAAAGGGAACACTGATCGGTTCAGAAAATCATGATACTAAAAGAGCAGGGTACTGGGAATCCATCAATGATCACAGTCTGTGGCTAGGACTCAGATTCACATCAAAGACATATAGCTGTGGACAAGAGCCAGAGATCTACACTCAGAGCCAAGAAAGACACCAGAAACAAGCTGCAAATCATAGAATCATAGAATAGTTAGGGTTGGAAAGGACCTTAAGATCATCTAGTTCCAACCCCCCCGGCCATGAGCAGGAACACCACATACTAAACTATGTCGCCCAAGGCTCTGTCCAGCCTGGCCTTAAATGCCTCCAGGGTTGGAGCATTCACAACTTCCTTGGGCAACCTATTCCAGTGCCTCACCATCCTCACTGTGAAGTGAGGATATCTTATATCTAACCTAAAGTTCCCCTGTTTAAGTTAAAGCCATTACCCCTTGTCCTACCACTAAAGTCCCTAATGAAGAGTCCCTTCCCAGCATCAAGAAAAATCAAGAAAAAAGGGGTGGGTAATAAGAGTCAAGAATCACTGCTGTTAAAAATAAAGCTTAAAGAAACCCACCCAAAAGAAGGGAGGCCCTTGACATATGCCTTATAGAAAATCAGTAGCCCTTCAATGTAGAGGCTTTGGGGTCTCCTGTAAAGCAGAGAGTGAATCCCTCAAACCAAGGTTCTGCACTCAAACTCAAACCACCCAGCTGAGGTTCCCTTGAATGAAACCAGATTTAGACAGTTCAAGTGCTTTATCTTACTGATTTCATGGCCAGAAGCAGCACATGAAAATCCGGGAACAATTTTAGTGAGGATCTCTTTCATAACTACTGGCAAACTCTGCAGAGCAGTCAGGGATTAGGGCTCCCTCAGGTACTGACAATGTGGGGAGAGCAGGAAGATCCCACTGCCCAGCCTTTCCCTGCTAAAACATTCCCTAAGGACCAGTTCATTCAAGTGAAAACAAATTCAAAAGGACAAGAGAAGCAGAGGCACACTGCCCCTCTGGAGGCCAGCCTGAGCACTGAGAGCAGTTTTGGGGTTGCCACTTTACCTTTTCAATGGGCCGGAAAACGATGGGCAGAGTTAAGGACATACCAGGTCTCAGAATGATTGGCTGTGGAAAAACAGTAAAGAAGAATCTCGTGGAAGGACACCTAAAGAATGAAATCAGAACAAGATACTTTTTCTGAGGGCATATAGCTGTTGTTAAGTTAGACACCATAAAAGAGAATGAAAAACATCAAACCCTCCAGACCTCACAACGAGAAGCACTTCACACATCTGTACCTTGGTAGCAAATCAACAGAAACAGGGGCAGAACCCAGGTGTCCTGAAAACCCATTCCCAGCTGTAAGTACCTATCCCTTCCTCGAATAATATTTTACATTCTTAGACCGTGCAGCATGAGCAAAACACATTGAGCAGAAACATTTAAGTTTCAGAGCAGGGAGGGTCACAGGGAGTGCTGGAGTGGCTCAACATCCAGTGGGACTCCCAGGAACAATGGTTTTAGGACACACTAGTGACTGGCTGGCATACATCCACAATTAAAATCTCACCAGACTGGAAACGCCTCACAGACAGAAGTATCAGCAAAACAGAATTCCAAAAAACAAAACAAAACAATGTTTAATTTAAAATACTCCTGCCAGAAAGAAGGACTGTGCTTCTGAATTAGCAGGTTTATGTCATGATACATGAGTGTGCATGTGCTGTCTCCAGCTGAAACTGACACCTGAAAAGGTGTTACTTGGGAGGTGCAGCAGGAGGGATGAAGATTCAGTGAGAGCGTGAGGAGTACAAAGGAGAAGGAAACTTCCCACGCACCTGTAGCTCAGCTTCTGGGTTTTCTCATTAACATTTTTCAAGATCAGGGGTTTGATGATCTCTTTTCCAACCTCCCATCCGTGCCACGTGAGTGTTTTGGTCACCTCAATGCCCCAGAATACGCCTTTTTTCTTCTTTGCCTTTCCTGCAGACAGCTTAGGGAGTTGCAAGGGGGACATTAGCAGTCTGGGAGGGAGGAAGGGAGGGAGGAGAAAGCACTCAAACAGCTCTATCTCTATGCTAAAGTTCCCGACTCTAGCAAAGGATGGGAGGAGCCGCCCTGCGGCAAAGCTCCAGGAGTCCGGAGGGGACACCTCCTGGCCACAACCCAAACAGCAGGTTCTAAAGGATGTCACGAACGAGGGAAGCAAAGGCTGAAGAGTCTGTCGTTTTGCTTGTCTCCCTGCCCTGCCAGTAAATCCCCGCACCGCAATGGCACCCTTTGCTTCCCCACTCCCCTTCCTGACGCAGCCATAGGACAGCCTCCGAAAAGTGTCAGAGTTTCGGGGCTCGCCATGCGCCTGAGCAAGCATCTGAGAAACAAGAGAGAAAACTCCTCACACACTGCTCCTGCACCCAGCCAGCCTTTGCTGCCCAGACCTGGGTGCTTCCAGAGACCCGCCGGCCCTTCCTGGGGCTCAGAGTGGCATAGCTCCCTGTAGAGTCCCCAGTAGAGTCCCCATTTTGCTAGCTGAGTCCGGCGCTCCCCACAGACCAGGAGTCCCGCCTCACTCACAGCTCAGACCCCTCTGGCAGAGCTCCCTTAGGCCGCTATAGCACAGCCCTGCAAAGCCCACGAGAGACCCATGGAGCCCAGTGCAGCAAAGCCTTGCCCTGTAGCCTTGCCTGGCCCCCTAAAGCCCCAGATCGATGCTGTGGCACTACCTGTGCCCTACGGCAAGAGCCTGCCCGGCTCGCAGGGGCACAGCCCAGTCCCCTGTAACCCTTGCCTGACCCCCGGAGCAGAGCCCAGGTCCCGGGCCACCGCCACCTCCGGGCCCGCACGGC